AAGATGTTTATCTTGTATTTGATTATGTTTATCTGCAATTAGTTACACGAATTCAGATATGAAACTTTAATAAGTTGTACTTACGCACAATCTACTTGCAATCTTGAGTTTTAAGTAATATGCATTAAAAATAGTATTTTACGCATAAAAATAATAATATGATATATTAATCAATACAGACATAATGATAAAGAAAATTTAATAATAGATTATATTAGGTAATAAAATATCAATTTGATTTATTATATATATATATAGGGGCCTAATCAAATGAGAACTGATTAGTTTGTGTAACTGTGAGGTCCAATCTCAACCACAAATCAACAGATAAATTAGAAAATTAATAATTATGGTAATTTGAGTTAAAATTATAATTAGATGACATATTAGGTATTTTTTAAAAACTCCCCTCTCCTCTCTCCGACTTCCAATCTCCGGCCTCCGGTGAACATTAATCCGGCAGGTATCACAGTATATCACAATGGGTATCACATTGTGTATCTTTGTGTTTAAGGTTTGAGTTGGTATCATAGTTGGTCTCACAATTGTATCACAATATATCACAATGGGTATCACATTGTGTATTTTTGTGATTACTTGGTACCTGCCGGATTAATGTTCACCGGAGGCCGGAGATTGGAGGTCGGAGAGATGAGAGAGGAGAGATGAGTTTTTTTAAAAATATCTAAAATGCCCTCTAATTATAATTTTAACTCAAACTACCATAATTATTAATTTTCTAGTTTATCCGTTGATTTGTCGTTGAGATTGGATCTCACAGTTACCACAAACTAATCAGTTCTCTCTTGAATGGACCCCTATATAGGGGCCTAATCAAATGAGAACTAATTAGTTTGTGGTAACTGTGAGAACCAATATTAACCACAAATCAATAGATAAATTAAGAAATTTATAATTTTGGCAATTTTGAATTAAAATATTAATGCAAAGATATTTTTGGTATTTTAAAACTTTCCTTTCTCCTCTCTTCTCTCTCCGGCCACCGTTCTCCGGCCGCCGTCTTCCGGTGATACAACAATGGTATCACAATGCATCATATATGTGCTTGGGTATCACATTGATGTCGTTTGTGTGGTCGATCGAAGATGTAACACAATGATATCACTATTCATCTTATATATGATTAGGTATCACATTGTATCTTTTGTTTAACAGAGTCAATATTTTTAGGTATCACAGTGGTATCATAGTGGTATCACCAGAGGACGGTGGCCGGAGAACGGTGGTCAGAGAGAGAAGAGAGGAGAGAGGAGAGTTTAATAATACCAAAAATATTGCATTAAGATTTTAATTTAAAATTACCAAATTTATAAATTTCCTAATTTGTCTATTGATTTGTGGTTAATATTGGTTCTCACAGTTACCACAAACAACTCAGTTCTCCCTTGAATAGGCCCCTATATATATATATATATATATATATATAGATTGTGTGTGGAGGTTCAAACGAGAACATTTTTATTTTACGAGAACGCAAGAATACCCTTCTCATATGTGATAATACACGTGATGGGACCCTGTGATGTGCGGACGGCGTGTTCTACGACTTAGGCTGCGCCATAGATTGTCTGCGTCTATGATTTAACATCACATGTGATGGTCTTGATGAATTATAGTATCATATCAACAACACTCTTATCACATGTGATAATACTTGTGAGGTGGCTTAGTGGTGTAAGAGCAAGTCGAAAATCGTCCGCGTCTCTGATTTAATATCACATGTATATCATATGTAATGGAATAATAGTATCGCATGTGATTGTCTATGTGATGGAATATATATATATATATATATATATATATATATATATATATATATATATATACTAGAAGGGCACTCGTGCAATGCAGCGAAATATATCTCGATTTTAATGTTTTATGTTATTCTTTGTCTCTGTCGATGTTATAATATGATTTTATGTGTTTTAAAGAAAACAATAATGATTTTATTTTTGAATAAATTATAAATTTGAAGATATCATAATTTTTTTTTAAAAATATATCAATATTAATATCAAACCAACTATTTAAAAGTTTTCAWTTTTTWKKWAWTTTYTTWAWTYWAWTTTTTTRTTATAATTTAATTTAAGTTTAATAATGAAATAATTTATTTTTGGTTTAATAATATAATAWTTTATAAAGATAATAATTAARTATTCTGTTAGAACTCAATGAGTATCTTAATTATATTTTAGATTTTTTATATTTAAAATGAGATGTTTATCCTGTATTTGATTATGTTTATTTGCAGTTAGTTATACGAATTCAAATTTGGAGCTTTAATAAGTTGTACTTACGTACAAATCTATTTGTAATATTGAGTTTTAAGTAACATGTATTAATAAATAGTACTTTATATATAAAAAATGGGTTTTAAGAGTCTTTGTCGATTTATAATATATTATATATATATGATAATATATATATATATATATATATATAAGCGATCAAATGAAAACCACTCAATTTGTATAAACCGTGAAAACCACATTCAACCAATCATAATTTTTAATTTTGTTTATTTTTTTGTAATTATGAGAGGTTGATTAACCATTTTTATTTTGGAGGGTGTTAATCATGGATATTATCGTCTTTATTATTTTAATTTTAGAGAAATACATGAAACAATTTCATTAAAATTTCATTAAAATTTTATTATATGAAACAATTTCATAACCATATATGAAACAAATTCATCAAAAAAAAGTATTACATGAAACATTTTCACAAGATTAAACAATTTCATGAAAAAATTTCATAAGATTAAACAATGAAATGGACGTATGAGGGTGGTTTGTACGGTTTACACAAATGAGAGCGGTTTTCATTTGAACGCTCCTCTTAATCTTGTGAAATTGTTTCATATAATACTTTTTTTTGATGAATTTGTTTCATATATGGTTATGAAATTGTTTCATATGATATTTAATGAAATTTTAATGAAACTGTTTCATGTATTTCTCTAAAATTAAAATAATGAAGACGATAATATCCATGATTAACACCCTCCAAAATAAAAATGGTTAATCAACCTCTCATAATTACAAAAAAATGAACAAAATTAAAAATTATGATTGGTTGAATGTGGTTTTCACGATTTATATAAATTGAGTGGTTTTCATTTGATCGATTCTATACATATATATATATATATATACTTGGGATCATATGAGACCAAGGCTTTTTCGTGAGACCCGTAAGACCAATTCTCAACTATTGGATTAGATTTACAATCTCAACATTCATAATCACAAAATTGCCACGAGACTTCTCAATAATTACAAAATTGACACGATGTAATTTTAGATCACTAGATCATTAACTTATAAAGTTGATCAATAAATATAAATTGGTGTTACGGGTCTCACGAAAAACCATTAGTCTCGTAGTAGCACAACTATATATATATATATATATATATATATATAATAAAACCGCCATCTCTGACCTCGGCTCGTGTTCGTCTGTCTGATTGTAATCGGCCTCTGCTCAAACGGCATCACGACCTGGTCGCTCCTCTGCCCCCATTATCGACTCTCACATACACTGTTATCTCTGTTGATTTCACAGTGGATTGATAAGGGCACAGGTGAGTTTTTATAGTCTGTGTTTGAGCTGGTTTAATGGTTTTACGGCTTTTCTTGTCATCACCAATTGTCCAATTTCATTTTTTGTATATTACTTTCTGAGGGATTTCATGTTAGGTTACCGAGGAAGAACCCTAATAGCTACTGTATCATTCTTTTCCTTTTGAATTTGATTTCATTAAGGGAGGAAGAAACAAGATGAAATACCCAGGTCTACAGATGTTCATGGACAACTTGAAACAGCTCATTTACTGTAATCATAATCTAGTCATCAACAATCCATTAATTCTATCTCAAAGGCCTCAATTCCAACTGCTTTATCAAGAGCTTGGCTCCATGATTCAAATCCTTCTCGATGTCCATGAAAATCATCATCTATATGAGCTCGAAAAAGTTGAAAATCTGATGAGAAGATTCAAAGATGCAGTAGAAGAAGCACAAGATATCATTGATCTATTTCTATCCGCTGTTCATTCCAGAAGTAGAGGACTTTTCACTAGACCTGATGTCTTTAAAACCTCCCTGGATCTGGAGAATGCCATGAGATGTATCGAGTCTATTAAGGTGGAATTCATGACTATGATCAACATCGGTAACTTGAATCCAACTCCAAGAATTGACCGCCTGAAAACACAGTCTGCTGATGCTGGTACCAGAAATCTATCAGGAACAAAGAAACCATTGGAAGAAGTTGTTGTGGGGCTTGATCGTGATGCTGAGCTCATACGTGACAAACTTGTTGAAGATACAAAGCAACTGGATGTCCTCTCTATTGTTGGTATGGGGGGACTCGGAAAGACTACCCTGGCTACCAAACTATTCAATGATCGTTTCATTGTATATCATTTCCATGTTCGAGCTTGGGCCACTGTTTCTCAAACATATATAAAACGAGATTTTTTGATTCAAATTCTGACATCCATCGGTGTTCAACATGACCTTGAAGAAGCCAATGACTCTAAACTTCGTGAAAAGTTGCACAAGCACCTAATGGGTCGAAGATATTTGATTGTCATTGATGATATCTGGAGCAGTGAGGCTTGGGATGACTTGAAATTATTTTTTCCCCATGAGAACACCGGAAGTAGAATTTTGCTCACTAGTCGCCTCAATGAAGTTGCTTTGCATGCGAAACCACATGGGTTCGTCCACTCCTTGCCTTATTTGACAGAAGCACAAAGCTGGGAGTTATTGTGCCAGAAGGTGTTCCATGGCGATGAGTGCCCTGGCTGGTTGATTAAACCCGGAATGCAAATTGCAAGAAAATGTCAAGGACTACCACTTTCGGTGGTTGTCATGGCAGGAATTCTAGCAAAAGAAACGACGAGATCATATTTGTGGGAGAATATTGCTTGCAGTGTCGGTTCTTACATTCTTAGTGACCAGGAATTAGGATGCTTGGAAACACTAGCTTTAAGTTACCACCATTTACCTCATCACTTGAGAGAGTGCTTTCTTTATCTAGGAGGCTTCCCTGAAGACTTTAGAATCAATGCAAAAAGGTTGACATGGTTATGGGTGGCGGAGGGTTTTATTGAAGAAGATGGAAATCGAAGTGCAGAGGAGACTGCAAGCACTTACCTTATGGATCTAGTCGACAGAAGTCTTGTAATTGTTGCAGAAAGGAAGTTTAATAGCGAAATCAAAGCTTGTAAGCTCCATGATCTTGTGAGGGAACTATGCCAGCAAAAAGCAAAAGAAGAAAGATTTTTCATCAAAATAGACTCTCCGCCATTCTCTTCTTTACTCGGTGTTATTAAACCATATGAGGTTGTTATGCCATATAAGCAACGGTTTGTGTTTACAAATCAAGATATCAACATTGTGAACATTGCTCATCCCCCCACCCCAAGCATTCGATCCCTTTTTGGCTTTCATAAGGACTCACGCTTGATCTACGACATTGCAAAGTATTTCCATTCCTTTGCGCTTCTAAGGGTGTTAAATCTAGGAAAGTGTAAACTGCATTATTTTCCACAAGGGATGACATTACTGGTTCATTTAAGGTACCTTGCAATTTGTTACTCATGTGAATTCCCATGCTCAATATGCAATTTATGGAGCCTTCAGACCCTCATTCTTGAACGTAATTTTGGTGTTGTGCATTTACCCCATAACATATCAGATTTGGTGAATCTGAGGCATTTGTGGAGTACCAGGGAGATTTTTCTTCTTACTATTGAAAAACCAATGAACTTGCATTCCATTTCGAAAGTGAGGTTAAGAGATGGGGCAGGTAATTTCGGGAAATGTTTTCCTAGCATCAAGAAGCTTGGATATACTCTTATTTCGGGTGAGGAAGGCCGCTTTGAATCTCTACCTTACCTTGAAACCTTGAAGTTAAGCTCCAAAATGCATGGACCGAACGTTAGACTGAATCATATTCGGTTTCCTGCAACGTTGAAAAAACTTACACTTGTAGAGTGTCATCAACCTTGGAGCAATATATCAATCATTCAATCGTTACCTAACTTGGAGGTTCTCAAAATAAAATACGGTGCCTTTGAGGGAACACAGTGGAATGCAGGTGAGCAACAGTTTGGCCAGCTAAAATACTTGAGTCTTGAGGTGTTAGATATCAAACAATGGGAAGCCTATAATACAAGCTTCCCATGTCTCAAACGATTAGCAGTGAGGTCATGCCGTAATCTTGAAGAGATCCCGCTTGAAATAGGGGAAATCGCCACCCTTGAGCTTATTGAAATTTACGAATGTGTTAACTCCGCTCTTATGAAATCTGCTGAAAGAATTCTGAAAGAACAACATGATCAGGGAAACACTGAGCTAAAGATCACTGAAGACGGAAAGGAGTTATCCATTTATTTATGTGAGCATGAGGGTTCGGAGTCTGAATGAGAATAATTAAGGTAGAGTCTCGTGGAGTCGCAAGTGACTCAATCAATGTTCGTTTCATAAGTTACAATGGTAATTCTTTTCCCATAGACTTTCTTCTCATTTCATCTTCATTCAAAATAGTGACTTTTAGTACATACATGTAATGAACACATTAAAGTATGGCTTAGTCGAGGTGGTATTGACTTTCTATAAAATGGGTTTGAATTAGATATTTACCAACACTTACAAATGAGTTTTATTTGACTTTTTGCAAAATGAGTTCTGATATCTGCATATTTTTTTTCTAACCCGCTATGCAAGCCGACTAATCCTAGGGCGACCATCTGCTTTGCAGATAGCCTGGAGTCACCGCATTTGAACCTCCGTGGCCACAAGGGGATTTTTATTCCTCCTTGGATTTGAATCTGGGACCTCCTGGTACTTTTGACCAATGGAGCCAAGCTCAAACCAATCATGCACTACCTTGTGGTTGATATCTGCATATGGTGTTTTCAAGAGATGAAGATGATGCAAATGATGTTCACGGTGTTCATCATTTTGGTCCTGGTAATATTTATGTCTGATATGTATTAATTTGTGTAGGATATTTATAATTTTATTTTGGGATGTCTAACCCTGGGCAAAATGGTTTCTGTCCCCATATTTCTCATCCTCGGTATGCAATCTTTGGAGCCTTCACATCTTCATTGTTAGGGTTTGTTTACTAAACGCTTACCTGTAAGTACTTATCAGGTCACTTTACCTTATCGAATGAACATGATAATGATTGAGAATCTTACCTACTACGAGTGATAACAAGATTCGAGAGTCTTACTCGATAAGTGAGAGTCACGCCCTTACCCCGTAAGTTAGAGTAATGACCCTTACCCGGTAAGCGTTTACAGGATAAAAATGTTCTATATTATACCGTTATAATGGGCTAAAGTTTTACCTAGTAAGTTACATGAAGATATTTACGATTACCATTAAGTGCTTACCAAGTAAACAACCCAGAAAAGCCTTGGGTAAAAGAATTTGGGTTCAAAATATTTGAGAGCACCCTTTGAAATCAAGCAGGTGAATTTTCCAGATACCGATTTTCTTCTCTCTTGCAACAACTGAGTGAGTGCATTCATGGGAGCCTGCTTGGCTCTTAAATAGGTCCGCCCCAGGTTGTTTGATGTATTTTTAAATTTTAAGTCAGCTAAATAGTTGAGGTAAAAAATGTTCATATTAATATTGTTGTTTCATTCTTGTTATAGTAGTCGAAGTAGTGATATATCTATATAGAGGAGGTTTACTTTGTAAACCACGTTATTTGTACAAATCGTACAAACTTCATTCAACCAATCATAAATTTTCATTTTGTTCATTTTTTTTTTGTAACTATGAGAGGTTGATTAATCATTTTGATTGTGGAGGGTGTTAATCATGGATATTATCATCTTCATTATATTAATTTTAGAGAAATACATGAAATAGTTTCATTAAAATTTCATAAGTATTATATGAAATAATTTCATAACCATATATGAAACAACTTCATCAAAAAAGTATTATATTAAACAATTTCATAAAGATTAAACAATTTTATGAATTTTGAAATTGGACTGACTACCAATTTCCTCTGCTTACTCAGACTCACTCTGTTTCTTTTCTTGTCTTGAACTCCTGGATGAATGGCTTTGCCTTTTGTCAGCTACTAAAGCCAAAGGATCTCCCTGTGGTTTTTCAGCTTTCTTCTTAGCTTCCATCAACTCTGAAACCTCATCTTGATTCCACTTCAAAGTCTTATACACCTCATGCAATTCCATTTTATTTTTGTGTCCTCTACTGCTGTTTGTCTCTTCTTTATGAACTATTGTATACATGGTTTGTTTTGTTGTTTTGTGGATTAAGTTCATTTGACATAGATAGCAGAAACTTTACTGCTATTTGTCTCATGTTTTTCCATTTTATTTTTGTGTTTTGTACTGCTGTTTGTCTCTTATTTATGAACTGTTGAAGACATGGTTTGTTTTGTTGTTTTGTGGATTAAGTTCATTTTAAGCACTGATGAAAAGTCAAGGTCTGTCACATAAGGCCCTTCAACAGGAAGGATGTGTACCTCATGCCCATGAATGAGTTGCTATAAATAATAGCTTTATCCTAAACACAGTTGCTAAGGCAATGGTTGACATGATTAATCCAAAATTAAATATTTAAAAAACTAAAAATGGTTTCATACAGCAACTTAAAAGCTACTGAATATGATGAAATTTCTACAGATCATTACAACTTAGGTACACCATGGAAAACAAAAACATGCCATCTAATATGTAATAACCTTTGAGCAAACGTGTATATCAACTTTAATAGCAGAAACATTTGTATGGATTGCTATAAACTGGCAAAAGATGTAAAGTAATGTTGTTTAAGTTTGTATTTCACTAAATGACATATAGTATAGTACCTATCCAACAACTCTTAACATGCATCATCACATGGAACACAATACACAAGGCAATCACATTTCAACTTAAAAGTAAATGTTGTTTAAGTGTGTATTTCACTAAATGGACTATTTGCTTATTGAGAAGATGAATCATGAAAAAGTAATATTATGCATACATACCACTGTGCCTTGGCAAACAGCAGGTATAACCTGATATACCCCTGTGTGGCTGTGTCTAATAGATTTTGAAGGTATGTGGATTTCATGAACACAATAACTCAAGTGTTTATTGACTATACTTATGTGATGTGTATGTGTGTGTGTTTAGATACAACAGCAACCAGAGGTCTAATTAACCATTCCCTGTTTAAGTAAGTTTCATCATTTTTCATAACCATTTCTAATTAAGATCTCTAAATTAAGATATGAGTTTGGTTTAGTATATGAAGTTCTCTAATATGTTGCTGCTTTCCATTTCATCTTGTGAAAAGTAGTTGTCCTAAGTCATACTTAGGCTCAACCCAAGTTTTTGTTTTAAGAGGAACACAAAACAGAACACACACACAAAACAGAACACACATCTTTTGGATTGGCCAAAATGTACTATACTGTTTTGTTCTTACTGGTTGTGTTTGTGTGCTTACAGTTTCAAGACGAAGTCTGGTTGTGTTTGTGTGCTTACAGTTTCAACAGCAACTGTTTCTTCATCAGGTATAAACACATCTTTAGGATAAGCTCTCTTTGTAATCAGTCATTTAGAAACTATGATTATGAATATACAATGTCTTGATTTACTAATTTAGAACAAACTTGGTTGACTAGATCCTGAATATACTGTGTCTTGATATTTCCATTTATATGTTTATATGAACAAACTTGGTTAAATGAACAAACTTGATATTTCCATTTCCTGTTTAAATGGACTGTTTGCCAAAACAAACAACCTGTGTGTGCATATGTATTTGTACATATTTATAGACAGTGATCTAAGCAGCAAACTGTTTACATGGCTGTGTGCACAGTAAACTATTTGTATGGTTCAAACTTATGGATCAATACTGTAGCCATGATAGATATAGAAACAGTCACATGTATATAGATATAGATATCGATAGATATAGAAACAGTCACATGTATGCTGTTATGCACACACACAGAAACAGAATCAGAAGCAAAACACATTAGCCCTGTTACATGTATCTGTGTGTATATATATTCATCTTGATGTGTGTGTGCATATGTATTTGTACATATAAGGTTTTGATGTTTCAAGTGGCTGCATAGCTCCATCAATTTAATTGGATAGTATAAGCATCATGGTTAAGGAAACCTCCTTTAGGTCTGTAAGTAATCTTCGAGGATGTGGAGGGTGTCATCATGTGAGTAACCAGGACATCATGTGAGTAACCAGGCCTGTTACATTTACATTTATAACCACCAGGGATCACCTGCTTTCATATAGCTATGTTAAAAAGAATGGGATTAAGAAATTTAAGATGACACTTGTTGAATAAGTTTAAGCCCGAAAACGGAGAGGCCTGTTACATTTACATTGTAACCACCAGGGATCACCTGCGTAATAGGAGAGCATTAGCAGGAAAAATAAATAAGAAATATAACTTAAAATAATAAGCTTTTCTAAAGAGGATTAATCAAATGAAGAACATGTAGTCCWTACAAGAGTTGAGAAAAAYGATTTCAAGAGTCTTGAGACTTTAGCATATGGCTGTTAGCTTAAAAAGGTAGACTTTATTCAAGTCTCTTGTGTGGCAGAATAAATTATCAAATTTTTATTCAATATTATTATATACCGTTAAGGGTCATTGCCAATAAACAAGGAGGATGAGATGATATTTTAATTTGAATAAGCATTGAGGATAAGTATAAAACCTATTCTAAATTTCTGCATTCAAAAGCAAGGAGGGAACATCTACGAGAATAATAATTCTTCATACAATAGTGTGGTTTGATGCATCTTCCCTGGCTTCTGTCTCTTCGGTTGAGCTTGGATCTCAAAGAGAATGATAGAAGCCACAAAGGCTTTGTTCTCACCATGAATGCTTCCCAGAAAACCCTTTGTCCTGAGCTATAAAGATCAGAGCATTTACCTTGTCTACTACATAGACTCGGCCACTAGGGGTGATAGTAAAGATCTAGACTCAAATAATTTTATAGCTCATCAATGAACTACTGTTTTAAAATAATTTTGATTTTCACAAATGAAAGTAGTAATATACAATTAAACATGGACACATTAAGGACAATATGGTTATGGTAATATTTTGTAGTATTATGATAAACACCTAATGCTCTGTAAAAGTTTCCAATAAAATATTTTGGTCTTAGTTTTTCGGTTAGCTTTAATTACCAATAGCATTTATTATAGGCTTAGATTTCCAATAGACTTCGGGTGTAGGTTCTCTTGATATGAAAAAGGTAGCATCTCTATACTAGTTGATAAATGGATTAATTCTGGCATTATAGATAATGATTGGTAGTTTACTTATGTTATCATAGTCTGTTTTGTATTTATGCCAAGGGATCTAACCACATTTATGTGTTCTTTCTCTTGTTTGTTTTGTTCGTATTGCATTGTGGGTGTAGGAAATGCAATTTGACTCCTGATCAACATCTGGAAAAGAGAGGCATCACCACCATGTCATCGTTCTAATTTAAAGTCATATCTTAAGTTGCTAGAACTTAAGAATTACCGGTAAACGCTTATTGAGTAAAAATTTGGATAAATATCTTCCAAGTGTAAATATATCATCCTTAAAATAACAAAACCGTCAAAGCTTCGAAATCATTTACATTTACTGCTCCCGCCGCATTGCGCGGGTAAACAACTAGTACATATATATATGGTATATTTCAAATGCAACCATGTCCATTTGTACAACCAATGCAACCAAATTAATTGAGATATTTATAGAAATGATGAGAGTTCATTTATTATGATTTGAATATTTATGAAAGATGAATATGGTTCATTAATTATGATCAATACTTTATATTAGGAAACAATCAAAACTTCTATGAAATCACATATTTATCAAAATAAATGGACGATTGAGATTGAGTTGTATTGGTTGTACAAATGTAAAGGGTTGTATAATAACTTACCTATGTATGTATATATATATATATATATATTTAGAACAAAACTCTTGAACATAAAAGGTACTACCATTTTATGCAAGAATTTTATAAATCTCTTAGTTGCAAATCTTAATGCATAATGTACAAGTTTTTGATGCTAAGGGTTTTTAAACCCACGCCACCACTGAAGAATGGACGCTTCAAACCTTGCTTTCTTCCCTAACAGTCTTCTTCTTCCTTATTTCACGTCTCACCTTTGCACCAAAACCCATTTGGTAGCTTCAGACCTTGCTTTCTTCCATTCCTGCTACATGTGCACAAATGGGCGATTTGATGTATCAAATTTCTCCCCGAACAGCGTGGCTCCCAAGACGAGCTCATCGCTGCATATAAACCCTGCTCTGAAGTTTTGATTTCTCCACAGGTTCTTCAAAACCCTAAAGATTTCTCTGAGGTATGCTGTTGATTTTTCGATTTAGATTTCCATTTCAATATTGATTTAGATTTCCATTTCCATTTCGTTTTTGTAGCTATATGTTAATACGTGTTTTGATTTCTCCATTGGTTCTCCATTGATTTCGACGAGGTATGCTAATGATTTCTATTGATAATGTGTTTTCTAAATCCTTTTTAGATAATTAAGTCCATTGCTCTTATTCTGCCATTCCCTCGAAATTCCCTTTTGAAGTGAACCCCATGCAAATTTTGCTGATGTTGCATGCATAATTCTGGGAAATATGGTGCTTGAAACAACATTAAACACATAGGACAGAACTTTGGCACCCTTCATCTCATCTTCTTTAATCTTTTTTAATTGAGCTTCATTGTACTCCACTCCCTCTTCCCATTCTTTTTTTGAAGTATATAATATTTATATACGGCAAATGCAACAAATAAACTCACACACCCTCCTCACCTATGGTGAGGTTTGAACCCCTGACCTCCGAAAAGGCCAAGGGCTACGATACCGCTAGGCCAAAGACCCTTTGGTATCCTCTTCCCATTCTTGAAGGCCATTATCCACTATCTACCGCATTGCTCTTAAGAAAAGCTTCATTTTGATGCTCCAATTTTCATAATTTTCTCCCTCAAATATTTATTTGGAGGTGCTGGCTTTCATGGAATCAAGTTCTTTGCTATGTTCTCAATTTAGTATTCAAGATTTCAACAATTGTTACCATAACTGAAGGATCAAAGGATTTAGCCGAACTCATTGTCAGTCACAGAGCTAATGATCAAAAAATTGAAGAAAATCATTGAGATTTCATCTGAAGATGCCTTCTAGTCATCCTGGTATAAACCAAAGCAATCTAGTTTTAGCAAATTATTGGAAGAAGAAAGGGCCTCGAGATTTCAATGGCAATCGTATAGTTTCCTAGTAATGTTTTGCATGTCTTAAGCAAAACGCTTTCATCCTCCGAATTGCATCTTTAAGCACTTCCGGCTCTGCTGCAAAACTCACTCGAACCCAGTTCTTCAAACCAGCAGCATCCCCTACAATAATAATATTATATATAACTATAACAAGAACAACTAATAATACTAGTAATATAGATGAATGAAGTATATAAATTTAGTCTTGTGACGTTTCTATATATGTTATTGAGGGTGTTCGCCGATCAACCTGGAAAAACGATCAGTGATTCCTCTTTGGCCAACTTCATACAGAAGTCTGTATCATCAACTACATCATCAAAACCTGGTATGTTCAATTTCACCTGTTCAAACAAATTCAATGAAATTTAACAAATTCGTTTAATCCAACAAAAAATTAGTTACTTGATAAAAGAAATCTTCAATTACCATTGCGAACATGGATCCCTCGGGTTTATGTGGGCATGCAACAAGAGGTATCTCTTTAAGTCCCTCGTAAAGTATGTCCGCGGCCTCCTTTAGTAACTTGTTTATGTTCGAGAAAAAAGAGTCCGATGTGTTCTCTATGATGGAAGGAACGGCTCCCTAATACATCAAGGGATCGAATGATACATTAGAGCATCTCCATTGCAAGGTTCGAACCTTTTTATAAGAAACAACATTGTGGATAGTTCTTATAAGATACTCCTCTTTTTAGTGCTTTATTTTCAGCAGATTTATTTGTTTTCTTTCTCTTTGTAAGGATATTTAGAGAGCCATTTCTGAGTTCAATAAACCATACAGCATTTCTTAATTACTTACTGTGTTTTGTGTGTCATTGTATTCAGCGAGCTACGCTTAATGGATCGATCAACTGATCACGGGTCGGTCATAAAGAAGATCGTGGAATCACGTACCTGGATCACAGTAGGGGGATCCGCTGTTATTGCGAGACAACTCGTTAGGGAATCAACAATCTGTCATAACAAATAGATGTAAGATATATAGGAAAAGCTTGTTTGGTGCCTTGGGTACACTACAACAAGATTGAGTTTATAGGACACCTAAATTATTTATGTCTTAATAGCGCCTTAAGCTTGTGGGACAAGAAATAAAACGTCCTATTAATTTAAAAGTGTTACAATAAGTTTACATGACGCTTTTAGATGCTGTAACAAGTTTTTTAGGACATTTTTAAAATAAAGTGTCATATTAGCTATGTTATATGACATTATTTGAAAAATTGTCTTATAACTACAAAGGTTCTATAAAAAGATGGGTTTATAGGACACTTATCAAAATGTTTCGTAAAATAACTAATACGACATTTTATTTTAAAAAGGTCCTAAAAAAAACTTATTACCATGCGCAAAACCTCATATAAACTTATTGTAACACTTTTAGATAAGGCGTTTTATTTCTTGTTAAGAAGTTGCTCAGAAATTAAGAAAGATGAATAGAGAAAAACCCCAGTTTGTTGAAGAATGCCGATGGGATCGGTTATTGCTATCCAACCAAAACGCCAACCAGGAACGACCCATCGTTTTGATAATGATCCAAGCGTCACAACTGGCGCTATATCTCCAAATACCCCCATCGGGATAAATGGTTTTTCTCCAAACACTTGATGGGCATAAACTTCGTCTGCTATCACCAGAATCCCGAGCTGTCTTGCTGTTTCTGCAATCTTCAATTATGACAAAAGAAATATCAAGAAAGATCGTGACGATTAAAGACACCATCGATAACGAATCGACATTGAAACTACACCTTTTTCATATGCTCAAATGTGAAAACATTTCCACAAGGATTGCCTGGGTTGATGAGAACTATAGCCACAGTTTTATCGTTCGCCAATGCTTTGACGCCATCGAGATCAACTTCCCAACCTTTATCGGGGATGAGATCATAATGACGGACCTCGAGTGGGCTAAACCTGGCTCGTGCTTCGTATATTGGATAATTAGGTCTAGGAAACAGTATATTCGCACCGGGGCGAGCTAGAACTGTTAGTATGATTTCAATGGCATGGTTTGCTCCAGCTGTGAGAAAAACGTCATCGGTTGTTAACTTGTTGGGAAGGTCTCTTGATAGATACTTGGCAACAGCACTGTTAATGAACACATTTGATCAGTTACTTCGTTTGTAATCAACCAATACAGTTTAATGTAGGAGTGTTCGCATATGGGGTTTGAACGGTTTTTCAACCGTAAACCGCACCACATATATCTCAAACTGCAAAAACCCGCACCACGAATGTGGTATGGTGCGGTTATGCGGTTTGTATATAACATACTTTACGCCTATAATCCATAGATTGTAAGATTAAAATTTCATTATAAAATCAACGATAATGCAAGCATAGTTCAAATAAATAAAAAAGTTTAAATACATCGTATTCCCAAATAGATATTATATAATAACAAATGGTCTATTAGAAGTAAAAATAACTTCAAACTATAAATTACCCCAATTGATTTGAACCATTGTTTGCTAACTCAAAACCACAAAATGCATCGCATGATGCGGTTTGATAAAAAATGAAAACCGCATCGTGAAAGTTCTAAACTGCGGTTTGCGGTGTCATGTGGGCGATTTATATGGTTTGGCCGTTTACATGAACACTCATTGAAACGAAAGCGGCTTTGTAAATATTTAAATGTTATAATAGAATGTTTTATAAGAACCAAAACGATCATGTTACTAGGGGTGTAAATGATGCGAATCGAGCTCGAGTATCACTATACTCGACTCGAACTCGAAACYCAATTTCCAAGCTCGAACTCGAACTTGAAACCCAATTTCCAAGCTCGAACTCGACTCGAAAACTCAAGAGTGGTAAAAATTAAAGCTTGACTCGAACTCGATAACTATTTCTCAAGCTCGAGCTCGAACTCGAACTCGAACTGCAACTTAAATCAAACTTGAACTCGAACTGAAATCAAGCTCGAACTAAGCTCACCTATTGAAATTTATGAAATTTTAGGGTCTTTTTCTTATAAATTTCAAAACTTAAAGGTGTTCTCTAAGTTTTTTATAAAACTAAAGGGATCAACTTCAAACTTTATCATAAAAAAGACAAAGTTAGAAATTTCATTCACCTCTCTCTCTTTTTATATCAGCTTTTCTCCATTCCTTTACCATCTCTCTTCCGATGTGGGAAAATTTCACTAACCCCTTTTTATAGTTTTTCTTATCTTTTATTAATTGTGATTTTAATAAAAATAATTGATTAATTCTTATAATTAAAAAATGCATAATTTTGTTAAAATTTCTAAAAATATAAGACATTTTTATTATTTATATTTTACAAAATTTATCATAAAAACTGATTATATTTAAAACTAATTATATATAAAATAATCGAGTATCTCACGAGCTTTTCGAGTCGAGTATTGAATAGCTTGACTCGACTCGTTAATATGTCGAGCCGAACCTATTCGAGTTGAGTGTTGACCGAGTTGATCTCGAGTAACGCGCAAGGTGTCTCGTATCGTTTACACCCCTACGTGTTACAATAGGATGGTAGGATCTATTATGCATCCTAACAAGTTTTCTAGGACACGGACTACAACAAAATCCCAACAACGTAAAAGTGTCATAATAAACCACTTTACAGATCTTAAGTTTATAGGACCAAACAATAAAACACATATCTAAAAGTGTTGTAATAAGTTCGTATGCCGATTTTAAGCGTCTTAACAAGTTTTTTAGAAATATTTTTTCAAAATAAAGCATCATATTAGCTTTGTTATGAGACACTTTTGAGAAATTTCCCTATTTTTTTTATAGGACATTGTGTCTATAAGACACTTTTTCAGTGTTCCATAAAATAGTTAATACGACACCTTATTATAAAAATGTTCTAAAAAACTTATTAAGCCACCTAGAACCTTATTGCAACACATATAATATGACGCCTTATCGTTCAATCCTATAAGCTTAGGTCCTCTAAAACAACATTTTGACTTTTTTTTTATCCCATATAAAACCATGCTATTGAAATGGAGAATTTTTTTTTTGATTAACCTGGATATCCAACTCGCTATGCGAGCCGACTAATCCCAAGGCAACCACCTGCTTTGCAGATAGCCCGGAGTCACTGCATTTGAACCTCCGTGACCACAAGGGGATTATACTTAATATAAAATCACATATTAATTGCTTCTATAAATTTAATTCCTATACAACAACATTTAGGAGCCGTTTACCAAACGCTTACCCGGGTAAGCGGTTACCAAGTCACACTACCTCACTGGATGAATATGGTAACCAAGAATCTTACCTGGTAAGAGCGAGACAAGGACCAAGAGTCTTACCCGATAAGAGTGAGACAACATTACAACAAATTTGGGTTTATAGGACACCCTCAATCTCTAAGTATCATAATAGACCGCTTTATAGGATTTAATTTATAGGACCAAAACATAAAATGTCATATCTAAAGGCGTTGTACTAAGTTTATATGACGCTTTTGGGCGTCTTAACAAGTTTTTAAGGACATTTTTAATACAAAGTTTTGCATTAGCAACTTTATAAGACACTTTTGAGAAATTGTCCTATAAACTCAATTTTTTATAGAACACTTGGTTTTATAAGACATTTTTTCAAATAGTATCCTATAAAGTTGATAATGAGACGCTCTATATTAAAAGTGTCCTAAAAAACTTATTACGATATCAAAAAAGGTCATATAAACTTAATACAACACCATTAGATAGGACACATTATTTTTTTGGTCCTATAAACTAAGGGGCCGTTTACCAAATACTTACCCACAAGTGCTTACCGGTAAAATTTAACACTATTATTTACTTACCGGGTAAGATTTTAGTCCACCAAAACGACATCGCATGTAACAATTTACACGGTAAGCGCTTACCGTGGTAAGAGTCGTCGCTCTCACTTACCGGGAAAGACTCTTGGTCATGTCTCGCTTTTACCGGGTAAGATTCTTGGTCCGTACCATATTCATACGGTGAGGTAATTTGACTTGGTAAGCACTTACCTGGATAAGCGTTTGGTAAACGGCCCCTTAGACATTTTCAGTCCTATATAAAAACCAATCTTGTTATAAGCTTTCAATCAAAATCAAGAAATCTTGATAGAACTTTAGTGGGGAAAATCTGAGTAAAATAAGACAGACCCAAGAATTTTTGGATACGGTGGCATCATATAAAACGGTTCTAGAATAAAACGGTGCACTTTTCATGAACCTAATTTTTTTTAACCTTACAACGGAGAAACAATACGGTGGCACGTGCCACCTAACCACCCCTCTAGGTCTATGATTACAAAGGTAACAAGACTAACCTTCTTGCAGGAGCAATTCCAACCCCAGGAGGATAACAGTTGAAGTGAGCAGATCGAATGGATGCAATTAGAGCATCTTCAACAACTGTTGGTGTTCGAAAGAGAGGAAAAGCAGAAGGATCTCCATGTCCCAGATGAATCACTGATTTCCCAGTTTGTGGTTCATCGATGTTTTCGATGATGGCTTGAAGGATGTGTCTGATGGTGAAAGCTGCAGCAGCATGCAGCTCATGGTTCTCCTTGAAACCCCATTCCTGCTTCTCCATTGATTCTCCCATCTCCTTCTCCTTCTTCTTCGTCTTCCCTGTGGTTAAGTTTACAAAGGGTTATGATTATGAGCGTCCAAAAATGGTCGTTAATGCCGGCAGTGGGTCCCTTGAGTGGGGTCATGATGTTGCTGCAGGTTGCTAGCCAACAAATTCTTAAGCATCTTCCAGGCATTTACCCTACTAAAAATGATGACGGATTCACATGTTATATACTTATATATACTAGATACAGTTCATGAGACCAGCCTCCTTTCACACTTTTTTACATTTGAGTCTTTACATTAAAACATCATAAAAGTTTGAATCTTTTTTTACCTTCACAATGTTTTACTTTGAGGTTTCAAATGTAAAAATATGGTCTTAAAAGTGGTCTCATGTAAAAATGTGGTCTTAAAAGTAGTCTCATGTAGAGGAACGATCAAATACAAACCACTCCTTTTTATACAAACTGTATAAACTAGCATAAACTAATAGTATAATTCCATTTATTTTTAATTCATAAGGGTATGATTGTCATTTGACTTTATACTATATAATTTTAGTAATATTTTAATTGTGTCTAAATTAAGAATATTATATAGATTAGAGGTTTTTTTTAGAAATGATCAATTAATTTGTTTTTATAATAACCTTGAAACTGGTAAATTTTTAATAGATACTTAGTAACATCAATGTTTTGTATTCTTTTATTAAATAAAAAATAATCCGTCAATTTTTAATTTACAAATCTTTCCAGCTTTATTAATATTATAGCTGTGATATTTTTCAGATTTTGAGTATATTGTTTTGTTTCATTTGTAAAATTCATGAATAAATTGATTTCCTTACAGATTTTATTAATCAAATCATGTTATCCAGTTTTCAAAATGTTTCATTCATGAAATAATTTCATATGGATTAGGAACCATGAAATTAATTTCATTAATGAAATTATATTATCAGTTTTCAAAATGTTTCATTGATTGAACTATATTTAATTTCATTAATAAAATCAATTTCATTTTGATTAGGAACTATGAAACCAATTTCACTAATGAAATCATGTTATTCAGTTTTCAAAATGTTTCATTCATGAAACCAATTTCACTGATGAAATTCTTGTTAGGATGACACAAATTTGTGGTCCAACAATATGAAGCCATATAAAATAGTTTATTAAAATATTTAACAGTCATATGACGTGAATTTGCAGTGTAACAATATAAAATAAATATTTTTGTAGTATATGTAATAATTTTATATTATTAAAAATTTGTTAAGGTCAAATGTTTTTATTCATAACAAAACTACAAGAAACTTGTTTTCTTAACGAAGTGTTTATAATGCAATTGAGTTTCCAAAGCTTTGTTTTTTTCCTAAAATACAAATATATTTTCTAATAACTTAATTCACATTAATAAATAAATAGACATAATTAAAAATAATGGTTAATATTAGAAATGATTTAATTATTTTTAAATATGAAAACGTAAATATAGAAACCGTTTATATGGAAGGTGTAAATCAATTGTTTTTAAATATAAAAGGGTGAAATNATGAAAACGTAAATATAGAAACCGTTTATATGAAAGGTGTAAATTAATCGTTTTTAAATAAAATATTGAAAATAATTTAATTATTTTTAATCATGTCTATTTATTTATTAGAATATATATTTGTATTTTAGGAAAAAAACAAAGCTATGGAAACTCAATTGCATTATAAACACTTCGTAAGAAAACAAGTTTCTTGTGGTTTTGTTATGCATAAAAACATTTGACTTTAACAAAATTTTAATAATATAAAATCATTACATATACTACAAAAATATTTATTTTATATTGTTACACTGCAACAAAATTTACGTCATATGATTGTTAAATATTCTAATAAACTATTTTATATGGCTTCATTTTGTAGGATCACAAATTTGTGCATCATAATAAAAGCGTTACTCTAAGATGTCACGCCATGTCATCCTAACAAGTTCTTTATTTAACACTTTTAGAAAAATGTCTTATAAACACTTGTTTTTATAAGACATTTTTATTCTAAATATGTCATATAAAATATCAGTAGAACGTTTTTATTTCAAAAAGAAGTTGCCTTTCATTAAATGATGAACCCTTTCATTTTCTATATTACATTTTATTTATAATAACTATATATTATTTATACAACATTTAATATAATTAAAAACTTTTATTTATTTAATTTGCATTTTCTTAGTTTAACATTTTCTTTACAAAAGTCAATATTAAATTTTTGTGGCAATTCTTTTATGACCATATTATTGAATGAGCCTCTTGCAAAAAAGTCTTTGAGCTTGAAAGGTGAACTACTTTGTGAAATCTTTGTAAACATTTGATTAACATTTTTGCAAATCCTAATAAAACCCATTTCGGGTTTCAAATAATTTATTTTAAGTTACAAAAAATTACAAATTTTAAAACACAAAAAAAATTACAATTTGCATAGGTAGGTGTATAATAACATAGTAGAGTAATAAAAACTTTACCTGATGAACGCAGTTGTGGAAAACATAAAGGAGGAATTTTTCAATCTTTATCTTATTTAGGATATAGAATGTTGTTGATGTGAGTTCAAACAAAAAAAACCTTCGGACATTTAATCAAACTGTTTGTATTCATGTGTAGGAACGAATATAGGAACCAAAATAATAACAACCGATAGAAAAGGACACAAAAATATGAAGTTACCATTCTCGGCAAAATTTCACCGTACTAATATTCCGCAATGAAGTACGTAGCCCAGTTGAACTTGAGTGCATGTGAATGTTTTAAAAAATATAACTGATTGTTTCTTGAATGCCAAAGCTAAATCGAGATGAAGAGATTGAGAAATAAATAGATGGAGAGATCATAATTAAAACAACCGAGAGAAAATGGCTTAAAGATATAAAATTACCATTCTCGTCAAAATTTCACCGTACTAAGCTTCCGCTATGAAGTAATCCTGGTTGAACTTGAGTGTGTGTGAGAATGTTTTTAAGAACATAATCAATTGTTTCTTGATAGCAATTTATGCCAAAACTAAATCAAGAGAAAGAGATTGATAAATAAAGAGATGAAAAGATAAATAGTTGGAGAAGGTAAATCAACTGCAATAAAGAATAAAATGACTGTTTATCAAGAAGTTGAATAGTCTAGGAGGTTAAACTTAAGTTGAATAGTTATCAAGAAGTTGAATAGTTTGGGAGGTTAAACTTAGTTGGATGCAAAATTACCAAATGATCTCATTTATTATGAAACATACAATTTACTTGTAGGGGCATAATAGTCTTTAACTTAATTAGTATTTAAAAAAGTAAAAAAAGGAGAAAAAAGATAAATAAAATCATAGCTTTTAGAAGATGCCACATTATACATAGTGGCTTCTTTTATATATATATATATATATATATATATATATATATATATTGGTATAAGAGCTCTGTTCGATCAATATGAAAAACTCTAATATTCCTCCTTCATTTCTCTAAAGAAAATTATGGTAAATGGAGTATTCAAATGAAGGATCTTCTTGGATCTCAAGAAGAATGGGAGTTAGATGAAAAAGGGATATACCGAAGTTGAAAATGAGGAAGAATTATCACAAGCTCAAAGAGAGAATTTAAGAAGATCAAGGAGAAAAAATCCGCAAGCTCTGTTTTTGATATACCAAGGAGTACAATCGTATGAAGCTGTTTGGGAGAAAATAGTTTGTGCCACTTTGGCAAAGCGAGCATGGGAGATTTTGCAAACTTCATTCAAAAGAGATGATTTTATAAAAAAGAGTTTGGTTGCAAACTCTTCGAGGAGAGTTTGAAAGTTCACATAAAACGGAGTCACAATCCGTTTCTGATAGTGTTTGCGGGTATTGTCTGTAGTTAACCAATTACAAAGAAATGATGAACATATGGATGATATTCGTGTCATAGAAAAAAAAAATCCTACGTTCTTTAGATTCTAGATTTGACTACATTGTGCATTGAAGAATCAAAGGACTTAACCACTATGACCATTGATGAACTCATGGGCTCATTACAAACTCATGAAGAGAGATTAAATATTACGAAGAATGAAGTAGTTTTGGATCAAGCACTCCAGTCAAAGTTGTCTCTAAAGGGAAAGAATGAATATTTCCAAAACGGAAGAGGTGGATTCTTGGTCATGGAAAAGAAGGAATCTTTCGAGGAAGAGGCTCAAATGCTCGAGGAAGAGGTTATGGTTGGAACAAAGTGTAAGAAAAAAATACTGTTATTATTTTAATTTGTTAAATTTTTTTTATATAACAACAGAAACGAATTCTGTGGAAGAAACCAACAACGGTTTGATTGAAACAGAAACGAATTCTGTATTTAGTAAAACAGAAAAGGATTCTGTAAAGAAAAGAAAACATAAACAAATTCTGAATTCCAGAAGAAGAAGGAGAAATGGTTGAGACTCGTGTTTGACACGATTCCTTTAAACAGATTCGGGTCTGTTCCTAGGGTACAACAGCCGGAGCAGGAGTACTGCCGGAGTTGACCAACTTGCCTGAAAAATTCGCCGGAAAGAAGCTTGCAAAGGAAGAGGAGCGTGTGCATTGTGTATTCTGTGGTTTTGTATATTTTCAAAATGAGAATTTGATCTGTTTATAGGCTGTAAACGTATCATCATTTTAATGGGCAATTAGTGTATTAAATGCGCAATTAAATTCTCATTAAAAATGATTCAGTTACTAAAACTGAGTTAAATTTGAAAAACAGATCAGATAACCAGATAAAATTTCAGCAAAAAACGGGGTTGCGCGAGCTCGTGATTTCGGAGCTGCATTCGTGTCCGCAGGTCGCCCCCACACATGAGTTCGGCGGATTTAGCCTACGAAATCCACAATCCGCACCCCCCCTGCGCGCGTATAGGTGTTGGAGCATAACATTGCATAATAGCTTGAAAGCCTTTGTGAAGTCCATGGTTATAAACCATGAAAACTTCAATCACCCCACCTATGTGGGATACCTCCCACACACCCATTTGGTTTTGCTAAACTCATCCCAAGTACCCAACTTT